AAAAAAATAGAGAGAAGAAATCCGCTGGGGCATGTTTGTGTCTCCTTCAAAAATAGATTATAAGCTCATAAATCTTGTAGGTGTTTGGGATAATTTCATTCCAGGTCCCCACCGCCCCATCCCACAGCCAAAAGCAGCTGTGCCTGGAGGAGCAGCCAGATGAACTGGGATCAGCAGTCAGGGAGAACCCCACCGATGGGAAAGGATCTGCAGTGCCTTCCTCATCCCCTCCTCCTCGCTGTGCCCGTGCTGCTGTGTGCCAGCAGCTCAGAGCCTGCTCCAGGAGCTCCTCCTCCCGCTTTGATCCCACTGCAGCCGCTGTATCCTGATGCTGAGGAGCCCACGGTCCTCTGAATGGGTTTGTAGGTGGGCAGACCTGCCCAACGTTGGGGATGTCCCAGAGCACAGAGCTGACCAGGGGAGCAGGGACTCCACAACCCCCCCCACCAGCACCCAGCACCCCCCCAGAGCAACACAGCCTTGGGAATCGTCCAACACACACACACACACACACACCAGCAGGTTTTCACTACCATTTTCACTGTTGGATTTTCAGCTCACTACGTGCACAAAGGATGTGCATTCATTCATCCTTTTCATCCCAATTTCTGCTATGAGCTCAGCGGTTCTGCCCTCCTTGGTGGAGTCTGTGTGACAGGACAAGGGGAAATGAGGGGCAAGGGGGAAAGAGGGGAGGTTGAGACTGGACATAAGGGGCAAGATCTTCCCCCACAACTGAGACAGGGGAGGTTTAGGTTGGATATGAGGAGGAAGTTTTTCAGCCAGAGGGTGGTGAGGCACTGGAACAGGTTGCCCAAGGAGGCTGTGGATGCCCCATCCCTGCAGGCATTCAAGGCCAGGCTGGATGTGGCTCTGGGCAGCCTGGGCTGCTGGTTGGTGACCTGCACACAGCAGGGGGTTGGAACCAGATGAGCACTGTGGTCCTTTGCAACCCAGGCCATTCTAGGATTCTATGATTCATGCTGAGGGTGGTGAGGCACTGCACAGGTTGCACAGAGAGCTGGTGCTGCCCATCCCTGCAGACACTCACGCCCAGGAGATGGGGCTCTGAGCACTGATACAGCCCTCCTCATGTAGGACCAGACAGCCTTTGAAGGTCCCTTCCAAACCAAACCATTCCAGAGCCCCAGCCCACCCTGAAGGATGGCACCAAGGCTCCCCGTGGGCACAGGCAGCACTGCATGGTCCCATGCTGCCAATGGGCAGTGGGAGGTTCTGTCGGGTGGCAGGGGGCTCAGTTGAAAGGTGGGAGGCTCATTTGGGATGTGGTTGCTCACTGGGGTAGTGGTGGCTCATTGGGGTGCTGGGGGCTCAGTGGGAGGCTCAGTTGGGATGTGGTTGCTCAGCGGGGTGGTGGTGGCTCAGAGGAGTGGTAGGGGGGCTCAGCGTGGTTGTGGTGACTCAGTGGAGAGATGGGGGATGCTCAGGGGAGTGTTGGGGGCTCAGCTGGGCAGTGGGAGGCTCAGTTGAGGGGCGGGTGGTTCAGACGGGTGGTGGGGGTTCAGTTGGGAAGCTGGAGGCTCAACAGGGTGGTGGGGGCTCAATTGGGAGATGGATGGCTCAGACAGGTGGTGGGCAGCTCAGTTGGGATGCGGTGGCTCAGCAGGGTGGTGGGCAGCTCAATTGGTTATTGGGGGCTCAGCTGGGTGGAGGATGGCTTATCTGGGAGGCAGATGGCTCGGTCAGATGGAGGGAGGCTCAGTTGGGCAGTGGGGGCTCAAAAGGGTGGTGGGAGCCCAGTCGGGCAGTGGCATCTGTTGGCCACAGCTCAGAGCCACCACATCCCCACCTCACCCTGCTGCAGACACAGCTGGTGCCATCTGCATCCCGCAGTCACTTACATGTGCTTCTGCCACACTGAATTCACACCAAACCCCACAAAAACGGCCCAACACGACCCCTCTCCTCAGCCTTCCTTCTCACCTTCATCCCTGGCTGGGCAGGAGTCCAGGAAAAGTTTGCCTCTCTCTCTTTTATAATAGGAAAATTTATTCCTTGGTTTCCCTTGGCTTAGCAGAAGAATCAATGTTCTGTGCCCTGTTTTTCAAGCTCTTTCCTCATTTGCATTAAGGCGATAACAAGGCAGAAAATATTATCCTGAAACATCCAGATTGAGAAGAGGGACCACAGAACCTTCACTGAAGCCACAGAGGAGGACGAGCAGCTCCATCCCTCAGCACAGGGACACCCCAGACCCCCCGCAGCCTCACACAGGGCAGGACCCCCCCCAGCACACACCCCGGTGCAGGAAGGATGCATCACTGCAGGACATCCTTCCGCAGGATGCAGGCAATCCAGCACCCCTGGGACTTCCCCAACTGCCACACAGCCCATGGGCCACGCTGCAGCATGAGCTCCTGCACTAATTGCCCTTCTAACTGCTGTCAGGCCACGGGTGCGAGCTGCCCCAGCTCCATTCAGCCTTGGGGGGGTCTCAGCAAAGTGCCCACCCCCAAAGCAGCTTCTGGGCAATACCTCAGCACTCTGTGATCCAGAGCGAGGAAATGCTTTGCAAAACGCTTGTGGGAAAAGAATGGAACGGGGACAGGAAATGTAGGGTGCTGCGAAAACACCCAGCTGAGCAGCAAGCCTTGCAGGCCAGAGGAGCTCTCTGCAGCACACACAGCTGCAGGCACTGCATGGCTCCTCACCGCAGTCCCAGACGCTGCACCGTGCAGGAGCAGCACTGAGCACTGCCCTCTGCCACCCCCCCTCCACCCCAACCCCTGCAGGGCTGTCCCGTGCCCACAGCCCCCCACCTCTGCCCTTCACAAAGGGATCGTTCACATCCTCCTGTAATCAGCAACCAGAGGGGATTTTGCTGCTTGGTTGGGAAGCTGGGGAATGTCCCAGTTCCTTCTGCAGTGCATGAAGAGGGCTCTCCTTTTGGTCACTGAGCTGTGCAGCCTCTCCATGCCAGCGCAGCCCCTCTGCTTTCGGTCCTGCATCCCCCTGCCACATCCCCACCTGCTCTCTGCAGCTGTGTCTGCAGTTGGCTACTGCCTTGCAGTGCTTCATCCCTCTTATCCCTCCTGTCCCCCAGGGGCCACTCTCCAGCTCCTGCACGGTTGCACAGCAGCTTCACCTCTCATCCCACACTGTGCACCACTGCAGGCTGCTCGGAGTGTTTAACCCGAAGCGCTGACCTGTCATTAGGACGCAAACAGACGATTCCCTCCCCGACACAAGGTCACCGCCCGCGGTGGAGATGTGCTCCTAACAATGGAGCCCACTAACGGTGAATTCAAAGGCTTTCAGCTGCACAAAGGAAGTGATGGAGAGTTGCAAAGGAACCTAAAAGAGGCTTGGAGACAACCCCAGGAGAGCCGGGAAGCTCGACTTGCAAACTCGAGGGCCGGTCCCGCTGCCACGCTGGAGCTGAGATGCCAGCATGCCCTGCTCCCATCTGCAGCCCTGCTCCACATCCCCATCGCACAGAGCAACGTCCTCAGCTCCCCAGAGGCTCCGGCTCTTCTGGCTCCCAAAACACAGCCCTGAAATGTTTCATCAGCTCTTGGAGAGGCATCGACAGGGAAGTGAGATATGGGATGGGAAAGCCCTCTCCATGCATGCTAAGATGCTCTGCTTTGCATGGCACAGCCCACTGCCCCCACAGCTTGGGGACCTGGGTCTGGGACAGCCACATTACCTCACCTCACCCTGGGACCAGCCCTGGATGCAGCACAGGATTGCAGGGAGCGAGGGGTGGGAGAATGGCACAGCACCAGGCTGACCCCAACACCACACCGACCTCGACATCAGGCTGACCCCAACACCACACCGACCTTGACATCAGGCTGACCCCAGGACACACCGACCTCGGCACCAGGCTGACCCCAGCACTGACCCCAGCACCACACTGACCCCAGTATCACACCAGCCACATCACCAAGCTGACCCCAGAACCCAGCACACTTCCCAACAGACCAAGCAGGAGTGGGGTGCAGACAGTGCCTAGGGAACAGGGAGGCAGAGAGATGGACACCACTGCAAGCTCCTTATGGCTGTCCCCCCCAGACCCCGTACCACGCTGTGTCACACAGCAGGGCTGCAGCAGGATGGGGACCGGGTTCTCCACGCCTCAGTTTGTGGGAGGACAGGGGAACGGAGCCGAGGGAGGAGGAGCCGGTGTGGCGGGGCTGGCACGAGGAGCTGAAAGCCGGTCCCTGAGGGCACTGCTCCCGGCTGCATAGAGGAGCAGCGCAGCACCCATCCGATCCAAAGGCAGCGCAGCCCCTCCTGCCCCCACCAGGCAAGCTGCTGCCCCAGCACTGGGCCCTCATTAAATCCACGGTGACTGCAATCCTTCTGCCCTGACCACGGCTGCCCCCGAGCACCCGCTTCTCCCCGCGCCCCCAGCACCACCGCCTCTGTCTCATCTCCCCATGGCGCACAGCTCGATGCCCGGTGCCACCTCAGCTCCCGTCCGGTGACACGCGCCCACTCCTCCTGCCGCACTGCCGTCCCCGCACCGGGGCACCCCGCACCATCCATCACCATCCCCTGCGCCGCAACACCGCAGCACTCGCCCGGTACCCGCGGCACAGCCGGGGCCGGAGCTGTGCCCCCTCCCTCCCCCAGCCCCGTTCCCCCCGCCCGGGCAGTCGGCAGAGCGCTGCCGGCTCCGGAGCGCAGCGGGGAAAGAGTCCGCCGCAGCCGCGTGCGTCCCTGCGCGGCTCTGCGGGCAGCGGGAGCGGGGAGGTGGGGAGCGGGGGAACGCAGCAGCACCGAGAGCGCAGCAGCACCGAAAGCCTTCCTGCCGGCCACGTACACGGCCGGCCCCGCCGCGGCACAGCGAAGTTTGCCGGGCAGTGTCGGAGAGGGGGGTCGGGGACGGGTGCGGTGCGCGGCGGTGCGGGGTCAGGCGCAGTATGGGTCGGGGCCAGGAGCGGTGCGGTGCGGTGCGGGGCTGGGAGCGGTGCGGTGCGGAGCTGGGAGCGATGTGGTGAGGTGCGGGTCGTGGCCGGGCGCGCACTCACCGTCTGCTGGAGGTCGGGGATGCCGATGCGGACGACGATGGCGCCGGGCGCGGGCTCCTCCATGCGCGCCGGGGCCGCCAGCTTGGGGGAGCGGGGCCCGGCGGGGCCGCGAATCGGGTCCAGGCGCGTCTCCTCCCGCAGGCCGGAGCCCGGCTCCCCGGCGGAGGCGCGGGGCTGTCGCTCCGGTGGCGGCGGCGGCTCTGGTGGCGGCGACTCCGGGCTCTCATGTTTGCTGCCGGCGGGGCTCAGAGGCATGCTCCGTACGGCGCGGCGGGGCGGCCGGCACCGGCACCGGCACCGGGGGCCGCGCTCACAGCCCCCCCGGGGGCCCTGCGGGAGACAGGCGGTGAGCGGGGATCGCGCCGTGCACCCCCGGTGGGACCCCCCCAGCCCCTCCAGCACACGGGCATCCCTCATGCAGAGACCCCTACCCCTCCCGCTATACAAAGGGATTCTCATCTCGGGTCTCTCCGTGGGGAACCCGACCCCACAAAGCAGGAATCGTTGTGGGGACACCCCCACGCCCCATGGCAGGGATCTCACAGGGACACCCCAATGGGGATCTTCATGCCCAGGGTCTTGCGAAGGACAGTCCCCATCCCACAGGGGAATCCCCATCCCAAGGACATTCTGGGGATGCCCCACCTCACTGGGGACCCCATCCCTGGAGGTGTTCAAGGCCAGCTTGGATGGGGCCCTGGGCAGCCTGGGCTGCTATGAAATGTGGAGGTTGGTGGCCCTGCCTGTGGCAGGGTGGGTTGGAACTTCATGATCCTTGAGGTCTCTTCCAACCCAAACAATTCTGTGATTCTGTGATTCTGTGATTCTGTGACCACCACTGATGGGCCCCTCCCAGCAAGGGGCCAACCCCCACACTGTGTAGGTGCCAGGGTGGGCATCAATCCCATGGCAGTGACTCCCACTCAGAAGAGACTCCTCCTCATCTCAGCAGAGGGAGTGGGCAGCCCCACCACAGACACAGGGACACCCAGGGCCCTGCTCACCCCGAGGCACTCAGCACAGTGCATGCACCAGACCCAGAGCATTGGGGCCAGGCACAGTGCTGGGGGCAGAGCGCACATCCCAGGCTCTGCTCCTGTGCCCATCAGCTTCCTTCTCTCCATGCCATCACCCATGTGTGTGCCCCTTCCCATCCCCACACCACCACCCGTGCCCCACAGTTTCTGCCCCATCTGCAACACCGGTCTTCCATCTCCACCCCCACACCATCACTCCTGGAGTGCCTGCCTGGCCCCCTTGAAGGGGATTCCCATGAAGGAGATTGGACACCAGCAGAACAAGCAGGGCTCAGCACTTTGCCTTGTGTTAAAAGACAGCCTCGGTTTCTGCCCCACAAACTGTTCCTCCTGTGGGTGCCCAAGTGCTGCCCACTGCGAGCTCCCTGGGGCTGTCAGCGCTGGGATATGACCATGCACACCAACAAACACACACCCAAATTTGGACAACAGTACACAGCAGCACCGAGCTTTGGGGACAGACAGATCTGCCCCAGTGGGAGCTGCCACCTCCAGGCTCTGCTGGCAGCACAGCTGCCGTCAGCTCCCGCACGTGGAGCAGAGATGCAAGCAGCCACACCATGGGCTGCTACTATTTCTGCCCGTTCTCCTGTCAGGGAGAGCTCCTGGCAGTGAGGTCCTCACTCCCGGGCAGGAATGGGGGCTTCCCTGCCAACAGCAGATGGATGAGGGCTGAGCCCTGCAGGACCATGCATGGGGCTGTGTCCGGTCCGTGGCTGGCTGGGATTCAAGGCTTTAATCTAGATGACAATCATCAAACAGAAATAGCCCCCAAACCACTGAGAGCTGAGAGATTTACGGTACGGCCTGGATCTGTTCAGGAAATGAGTAATGGTGCTTCCTCCAGCCCTCCCACCCCAGCCAGAGCCAGGCTCTGTGGGCAGCCCGGACCCCAGCACTCCCCTCTGGAACATCATCAGCTCCAAGCATCCACAGCAACAGAGGTGGGAACAGAGAGGGGAGGCTGCACCCAGGGACCCAGAGCCCTGGGACACAGCAGGAGCCCAAGGGGTTCTGGAGCATGAGTGCAGCACCAGCTCCAAAACTGAGATCCTGGGTCAGTGCTGATAAATGAGAACATCTCAGAAGCAACTGGCCCATCTCTGGGCTCCTGCCATCCACACCTTCACAGCAGTGTTGGACAGCTGTGGCTCAGCAGCTTCCCTGCAGCACGGGCTGCCCTCATCCCCAGCATGGGTCAGGTCTCTGTGTCTGGATGGGAGCACACAGTGACATCAGTTTCAGTCACCCCCAAATATAAACCGGCTCTAAGGTGTGAGTTATGCTCCCGCCCAGCAGCACAGAAACCCCAAAATGTCCCAGTGGGGCTGCCTGTGCCACAGCACCTCTTCTGGGCTCTGGGAATTGCTTCCTACAGGGCAGTGGGGCAGAGAGAGGGGATGGGAGCAGTGGGATGACACCACGCACCCTGCAGGGTCTGCTGGGCTCTGGCTAAAGGTGCATGGGAACTGCTTTGGAGAGCTCAGGGGGGCTGAGAGATCGTGGCTGCGGGACCAAGGGCTGCAGCTCATCAACAGCAAAGGTGAGGGCTGTAGAGAACAGGCCGGGCTCTGGGCTGTGAGTCAGGGATATGGGGGATGAGGTGGGGCTGGAGAGGGGAGGAAGCGGATGGAATGGTCGTGAGTCACTGTGAGTCCAGCTGAGACCTCCGGCAGCTCAGGAGACAATGGAGTCCGAACGGCCAGGAAGGGAGCAGGCAAAAATATCTTTGGAACAAAGGGCAGAGGGGGAAAAGGGGAAGCAGAGCAGGGAGTCAGAAGCTGAGGCTGCACGTGGTGCAGGAATGACTGGAGGCCAGGAGGAGAAACCCAGAGCTGCACTGCTCTGGGCACCAGCATCTCTGGGTCACAGAATCACAGAATGGCCAGGGTTGGAAGGGACCTCAAGGATCATGAAGCTCCAACCC